CTAAACTGTACAAACAGCATTTGTAGTACGCTAATTCCACAAATATAGTATGTTGTATTGAATCTTTGTAAACATTTTTTTCAGATACATTATAGAACTAAGTAGTATCAAAATTTACTAGGTTCTAAGTACTGAATCAAACTGCCAGGAAGTTTGCAATTGTTTTTATGTGTAGAATTTACATATTTATTCTGTTTACTGCCTTCAGTCTATTCGATTAAGATTTGATATATTGTATCAAATGAAAATACTTGTAAAATCTGCAGAGATTTCATCCTATAATTATTAAATCCTTGATTATTATTTAGATAATTAATGATTCTTCAGCAGTGAATGATGTGGCAATCAACATGTGGAACCAAAATTTTAAGCTAAATCTTTAACGCCATGATGTCCAACACTCTACCCACTAGCTACATGTGCCTATTTGCCTGGTTGAGTGTGGCTAGTTGGCTTGAACAATGTGCCTGTTTGGCTAGTTGAGTGTGTGCTTCAGACCTGGTTGGATGCCACAGCTTTAAAGCTTTGTGCTTTGCACTCTGTTACCTCTTTATGGAGGAGAGGTCCATCAATGCTGTTAATTAGAATGGACAGGGATGTGGTCACTATTCTGTTTGTTAGACGCTGGAAATGGGCATCAGGATGGGTTACTTGATGATTATCTGTTCAGTTAATTCTCTTTGGGGCACTTGACATTGTCCAGAGCTGGAAGACAGGATACTGGGCTAGGTGGATCTTTGATCTAACCCAGTATGACTGTTCTTATGTTCTTTCTTACTGATAGCTGAAGACAGCTGAAGTTGACAGGATCTTTTCATCTTGTAAATCTTATGCCTTAAATATATTTTAGAAAATAAAAGATGCATCCCTTATTTGAGAACAAATGTGTGAAAAAATATTTGAATTGGGATATTTTACTGAACTGACCAGAGCACATACTGCATATCTCTCTGCATAATAAGGAGTACAGCTTCAATTTACCTTCCGTTGAATGTTCCAGAGCTTTTTGTTTTGACCCCCAAAGCGCTTGCATGCTTTCATTGTCTTGAAACACGTTTCAGTGTCAGAAAATTTAGCAGCTTATTAATGATGGGCGTACACACAGTGAAACATGCATAACTCAAGCCTGGTTTCTGACAAAAAGACATGGATTGTCACATATCTTGTAAAGCCATCCATGGTAATTCATTTTAAAATATATGTGTTAATGATAGTCTTTGATATCTGAGCTCAGGATTAAATCAAGAGACTGTTTCTACCCATTAGAAATGACTAATTCAAGAAGAAAAATGTAGAATAGGAAATAGAATTTGTTTAAAAAAAGGTTTTGTTATAATTTATCAACTAGAAGAAACTTCTATTTCCATGGCATGTATCTAAATGGAAGGAAATAGAGGCACCTGTGTGTCCTAGGCCCTGATCCAGCCAAGATATTTAAGCATGTCCCTTGCTTTAAGTACATATATATTGTTGAACTGGGGCCTTGAAGAGTTAAGTCATCTTTATGCCAATATGACCTGTTGAAACTGTTGGGCTATGTCTAGACTGACATGATTTTCCGCAAATGCTTTTAACGGAAAAGTTTTTATGTTAAAAGCATTTGTGGAAAAGAGCATCTAGATTGGCACGGACACTTTTGCGCAAAAGCACTTTTTGCAGAAAAGCATCCGTACCAATCTAGACACGGTTTTGCGCAAGAAAGCCCCGATCGCCATTTTCACCATCGGGGCTTTTTTGCACAAGAGGGCTTTTTCCCAAATGGGAGAGTCATTGTATTTGCGGAAGAACACTGATGATCTTACATTAGATCATCAGTGTTCTTGCGCAAATTCAAAGTGGCCAGTGTAGACAGCTGGGAAGTTTTCCCACAAAAGCAGTTGCTTTTGCGGAAAAATTTGCCAGTCTAGACACAGCCTTGGAATAAAGTAGATACTAGAAATTTTTTTAACTGGTCAGATGTGACTCTCTTCCAGTTTCCTTACATGTAGTAACATTTAGTAGCTACACAAAGGTTATTGGAGTCAAACTAAGCAATTATGTTTGTTTTATTTTTAAATAGATAAATATTTTAAAATAGTTTTAAAATGTTTTCTTACAGTCAAAGGACTGCGCTGGTGAACTTTAACTCTCAGAAGACAGGGCTGACAAGCAATTAATAGTTCTACATGTAAATCGGTCCAGCTTTTGCAGAAATGCAGAGATGACCTGAGCTGCACTCCACTGCTAGTGGAAGATAAAATGTTTTTCTAAGCCTGCCCCACTGACCTGGAATAGTTCTTTAGTCAGAAAATGTGACCTACTGAGTTGCTTCTTTCAATTAATCAGCTTAAAACTGTCAAGTGCCCTTGGAGAAATTTGGGTCATGACAGTTCTTGAGTTTGTTTATTCTATTAAGTCAAAGAATAACAATCAGACATTAGCCTTTGCATTGCAAGTTGTGATCCCACTGGTCTGTGATGGAAGACTCCTGTCAAGACACTAATATGGCCTCAGTGTTCTCAGTCTTTTGTTGCTGGCACTGTAAATATTAATGATAATCAACATTTCAAGAGAGATCTAAAGGCATTTTAGGAGTGCTCTGCCAAATCCTGGGATGTAGCTTATCTGAGTATTGTAGCTTCAGGGGGTAGCCGAGTTAGTCTATTACAGAAAAAAACAACAAATGGTCTGGTAGCACTTTTTAGACTAACAAAACATGTAGATGGTATCATGAGCTTTCGTGGGCACAGCCCACTTCTTCATATGACTGGAGTTATGGGTTGGGGATATGAAAACTCAAAATAAATAGGAGAGGGGAAGAGGAGGGGCGGGGGGAGAAAGAGCATCATTAAGTATCTGGAGAATGGGTACTTAAACCTAAGCAGATAAAAATCAAAGTCAATAGATAGATTCCTAAAATGGGAAGGATACCACTCAGGGAGCTGTTAGCACCTTCAGTGGTTATTAAGTAGGTAGAGTCCCCACCAGCCCATATCATGATTAAGTCCATTAGCATGTGAATTGAATTTGTGGATGAACTGGGATTCCAGGGCTTCTCTGTGTATTTGGCTTGTAGAGCTGGTTTGTAACAAGACAGTTCCTTGAAGGTCTGTCAGACTGTGGTTAGGCAAGCTGAAATGCTCACCAACAGGCTTCTGTATATTCCCTTTACGTATATCCGATTTGTGTCCATTGATTCTTTCCCACAGAGACCGTCCAATTTGTCCAATATATATAGCAGTGGACACTGCTGGCATTTGATGGCATGTACAGTCAAATGACCCCTTGATTTTGTGGCTTATGTTGTTTGTTCCAGTGATGAATTCGCTAGTGTAGATATGTGGGCAGAGTTGGCATCTTTTTTTGGTTGCAGGGCTGGGTTCCTGGAGAATTATGATGTGGTTCATGATGACTACAGCGCCTCCTTTGTCAGCTTCTTAGATTATGATGTTAGGATTGGTTTTGAGGCTGTGAATAGCATTGCGTACTGTATGATTGAGGTCTGTTTGCTGATAATGTCAGCTCAAGCACGTTTGCGGAAGCAGTCGATGTAGAAGTCCAGATTTTCATTACATCCATTGGTGGGGGTCCACATAGAAGCCTTCTTCTTGTGAGATTGCTAAGAGAGCAGTGAGGTCAGTATGTTGTATATCGGTATGTTGGAAATATTCCTTCAGGCAGAGGTGGCGAAAATAGGATTCCAGATCCCCACACAACTGAGTCATATTTGTGGGGGTGGTAGGGCGGAAGGAGAGTCTACGGAATAAGACAGATTCTTCTGCTGGGCTGAGAGAGTGATTAGATAGGTTGATGATGTTGTTGGGTGAGTTGAAAGTATCCATTATGAGAGATCCTGAGGAATGTAGCAGTTTGGACACTTTATTGTCCTTTTTCCTCTGAAGGGAGATGAAATGGTCCTTGTAGATGGTTGTAGTTCAGGAGGTTTTTTTTAAAAGGTGGCTTTAAAGTACATCTTTGTGCTCTTTGCATCCTGGTCCCCACTCAGTACAGAGTAGCTCTTCTGGTCTCTCTGCAACAAATCAGGGGCACTTAGGTACTCTAATTATATGCCAGCTGCAAAAGATTTCTTGTAGCAAAATCAGGTGGTAGGATTGGCGTACTGCAGTAGGTTACCAGTCATGATCTCTCACAACTGGGCCAGCTGTATCTCTTTTACTGATCCAGAGGAATCTCCACAGCGGGGGGACAGGTGCATCCTTCATGGCTTGCCCACACCTTTCTTAGCTTATCCTTTAACCCAGGTGTATCATGGGACCCACAGAGAAGGCTCACAGCAGGGCTGCCATCAATAGCAGATGGGAGAGGGGCAGTTCTTCCAGTGTCCAGAAATTTAAAAGGGCCCAGGGCTCCCAGCTGCCACTCTGCTGTTACTGCAACAACAGTGGCGGCCAGAGACATTAATATTGCTGCTGGAGCCCCGCATGGAAAAGTCTGGCTGGCTTTGAGAACTGGCTAGGGGAGACATGGCACTGCCCAGACAGCACTAGGGACTGGCTGCCACTAGCTTCCCCTCCCCTCCCCCCAGGGGCTCAGAGTTGAGCCCTCTTCACATTCTCCAGGGCCCAGCAAAGATTGTCTTTAGCCCTAGCTCACAAAGAGCAGACACTTCTGTCTTCCACCTTCTGTTGTGGGGAGATCTGACTCTGAACTATCTTGCATTCTGCTGTATGACAAAACTTGGTAAAAATTACATTTTAATGGTGTTTCCTACACATAAAGCCTGGTTGAAATGATATCTCCCAAACACGTTAAAAGCATTTTGTTTTGTTTTCTCACAGACTATACTCCGTCCTCTTCAAGCTTTGTGCTCTTTCCAGCTTCAGCATGGTGCCCAAATCCATCACAGCAAGGAGCATCTTCTTAAAAATGGTTTATATGACAAGCCCATGCCAAAGAACAAACGCAAGCTCAGGAGAATGGAACTCTTAGTGAATAATGTGAAAATCTAGAAAGTCTGTTCACACAGTACTAGGGACTTTATTTTTTGTACCTAACAAATACAGTTTGACATGGGATTGTTCCAAAAAACCATCCATATGGTAATAGACCTTTTAAACCCTTTGTATTCGGCAGGCTTCCTGTCAGCAATATCAGCTACAGTAATAGGCAGCATGTTTAGTTTTGTCATTCTACAAGGCCAGGTGTCTTTGTTCAACTTAAAATCCCCTATAGAGGGGAGGAAAACTACAGTGAATAGTGTAGAGCTATTTTGTCTCTAGAGTCAGTATGTGATCCCCATTAAGACTGGGTAGATTTACTTTGGGAAAGGTTTTTTACAGTACTGAAGAGTAGGCAGTCTGTTAAAGTAGGTAAGGGTAAGGATTCAGTATTTGGAAAAATATTGAATTACTTCTCAGCATTTTAATTTTAATTAGCAGTTACAGTAGGGTATAATTATAAATCCCTATATCAGTTAGTTAACCTGAACATAAGGTAATGTGATCAGAGTATTTTGTTTTTAAATTTTGTGAGGCTCTTGTTTCTTATTTTACTTGTTATAGACTTACATCCATGTTGTTGTGCTGATATACGTACTTTGAGCATGTCTGCAGTTTTCAAGGGTTGTCCTTGGCTGAGATAGGCCAACATATTTTGTTCAGATTTCAATAAAGAGGAAAATAAGGAAAGGGAGTTGGAGCTAAGCTTTTATCTAAATTGTAGACCAATTACTGTACTCCATACTTGGGCAAAATTTTGCTTGTCCATGTAAAAAGTGTAGAATTTAGCCTAAAGAGTATATGCAATATACTGCATTTTGTTTAATCACTTTGATTTGGAATTTACATATATTTCCCTTAGAAATTTCTGTTGACACCCTTTCAGAATTGAATAGTCTAGCCACACTATATAAATACGTTTGCAGATTCATCAAATCTTGTCTACACTGGTGAAGCCATTCTTTTCAGCAATTGCGGAGCTGAACTATTTCTGCCAGAAGTGGAAGCACTAGAAAAGACAAGTTTCAGATATTTTATCAGTGTCATGAAACAGGTTTTCATGGCACGATGGTAAAAAGTAGTAATATTCGAGCTTTATCATACTGAAAACCCACTTTATGAAACTGTGGTAGTAAAAATGCCTGATCCATGTCCTGACTGGCAGTTATACTATAGGTAGCAGCAATACAGCTATAGTAATTATTCTTAGGTCTGTCTATAGGGTATTTTCCCCATAATTTATGACTGCTGCTACCACTGAACTCTTAAGTGATTACTCGTGTTTTAACAGTTGTGGATATGTCTGTTAGGAAAAGAGATCAAGGTTAGGTCATAGCCATCACATTGGCTAACTATGACCTTTTCCTGAATCTAGATGTAATTTAGATAAATCCCATGTCTGCTACTAACACCGATACAACTGAATTGGTGGTACTGATGATGAGAAAATCAGGAGCAGAAAATCTAATGTAGACACCCACTCTGTAGAAGCACATTTTTTAGTAAAGCAGGCAAGAATTCCTGTTTACGTGGTAACTAAGCTTTTCTAGGTTAACACCACATTGACTGGAATGGAGTATTTTCCCACTTTTCTTGCTCCTATTGTTTCATTTTGCCACCTTTCACATTCAGTGGGACAGCAGTATATCCCTCAGTTTACATTATGAAGATTATTTTCCCTAACAGAAGGATTAAATACTACTTTTCACAAAAAATGTAAATTCAAATTCTGGAAAACAGAGGAAAATCTGCATTAATACTCTATATTCCCAAACAACTGAAGTCTTAGTGGATCAAAGAAATAGTCTATTTAATTGGGTTACAATTCTACATGAAGTATGTCTCTGTATATAGTATGTGAATTGAAGGATTTTTCAATTCTGCATAAAGGTTAGATTTTCCTGTGCTTATATGAGTGATTTTTACTGATGTGAATCATCTTATTGATGTGAGGCAGCTCCCATGAGTGTTACTTAAGTGAATAATGTTCATAGGATCAAGCGTGAATGTTGAACAAAGGGATGTCTGTTGCTGTCAAGTCTGTACCATATAAGTGCATTACTATGCAACAATTATTTTAAAAATGAAAATATGTGAAGTTTATTTTTTATGCTTCAGGTACTGGAATCTTAATATTTTACTTTGTTCGAGGATTTTTTAATTTCTAGTTTATCTGTAGCAGTAATTCTTTTATCTGGGATGGCCATCTAGCTGCTACATAGTTGTCACATGCATTTGGATCAGCTGATCAAAATTTTTTGTTCATTGCCATTTTACAGAGAAATGACATTTAATTTTATTAAAGTTTTTTTTTTTTTAATCTTCTTCCTCTGTTAAAATCCAGGTCTGTTTTTGCAGTTCTTTCTTGAAGACCATGCATAATATTTTCTCAAATTATACTTTTGTTTTCTACTCATTATGAGTATCCTATTTCCATTAATCTTTTCTGGACATTATGAACAATTTCACCAACATATTTTGGACCAAATTTTCAGTTAGGCCTAAGTCCAGCATCCTTTTTTATTTTTTTTGTAGGGCTAATTGTGCACCCCCAAAAATCTGTTTTTAAATCTGTTATAGGTGCAATTTTAATTTTAAATATTTGATTTGTTTAATATTTCATGTGTATGTGCAAAAAGGTGTAAAACCATCACTACTTCTGCCCTGAGTCCTCCAATTTATTACAGACCCCAAAATACTAGCAGAATTATTTGCACATATAACATTGTTCGTGTAAAGATAGAGGACATTCTTGAAAACCTGGCCCTTAATCTATTATTTTTGTAAACAGACTGGTTTTGTATACTAATTTGTTACTACCTAATTTCAATATTTTGTGTTACATTGTGATGAATGACAGCATCATACAGGTTGATCAATTGTAAGTTTATTTTCAGATGTTTATATTTTTGTGATACTGTGTAGCTTTGTAAACAAAATTATGTGTATTAGCAAACAATTTCAGAATTTAGCAATCTTGTCTTTAGGCCAATGGGAATCAAACCTGAAATTTGCATTTTAATGTATGACAGTTATCTCAAGAAAAGGTGCTACCCAAATCTTAACTCTTTTTATTGCGAAAGAGCTGTCGGCTATTTTCTGTAAGGAATTTTCATTATGATGAGTTTATTTTGCATTATTATTATTTGTCTTCATTTGCCAATTGTCAAAAGATTTTTGGAAGTTTAAAATAGCAGTCCAACCTAGAAGTGATTCTTTGATAGCATATTTAATACAGTGTAATTTATTTTAATGTTTGTTCTCTTCCCTTTATTAGTTGCATTTTTAAGTTTTGCTGCATAAGTACAGTCTGTCCTCTATGTTCCATTAAATCATACCATGCAAAATTAGTGACTGTACATATGACAATGATATGTCATTGATATCAAACTTCAGTGAAAAAGATTGCAATGCCATAAAATGTTGTAAAGTGACAAAGTTTCCAGAACAAGATGTTGGATACAAAAGTTGTATATGATTGTGTAAACAACATATTTACTTTAAAATAGATATTTCAGAACCCTCTTATTTTTATTTTCTATTTGTAAAAAAACTTGTTCTAGAAAGCTTTCAAATTTCAAAATAAAGGTAGCCCAGGAAGAACATGAAGTGTTTTGTTACCCGCGGGAATTTATGCCCATTGCATTCTAGCAACCTACAAATTCTAGCTGTTGTCAGAATAGTACAAAGCAGTTAGTATTTCATTGTTTTCTATTTTCAAAAATATTCAAATGATTTGATAAAAGACAAAATTTATTTTTTAAATAAAGGATTTTCCTCTGTATTGCTAAAATGGTTTTAAAATGTCTTTGCTGTATCAGTTTTTATTTTCTGTTTAGAAATTTAATTAAAAAGTGATCTTTAAAAAAAAAGTGTTTGGGTTCAGTAATTTTCCTTTTGAATACCATGTGCAGTTTTTAATATTCGTTTATCCATGCATACTTTTTACACTTTTGCTTTTCACATGATAAAACAAGATTGTCATGACTGTATCATTGGTCCCACATAGCACACATCACATAGGCTGCACCTACAGTATAGTGTAAGACAATCCTAAGTCTTCCCCTGCAATATGCCTTGTGTGTAAGAAGGATGAGTGCTACTCCACCATCCTTATAGGAAATGAAAGAAGTAGTTCTGGTATTGTGAGCCATTGAGGGCTATCTGTATCCCAAATCCCTGTATGTCAGAAATAAACTAAAATAATTTCTATGCCTTCTTGTGAAGCCTGCAATCAGGCTATGGTAAGATTTTGGTAGGGATGAGAGAGTGGGCCATAGTGTGGTGGCAGAAATCTCAGCAACGTTTGTGTCATGAGCAGGATGGGTAGGTATGATGTCCCTAGCCTTTGTTTGTCAGAAGCTGGGAATGGACAATAGTGGATAGATCACTTGATAATCAACTGTTCTATTCATTCCCTTTGGGAAACCTGGCACTGGCCACTGTTGGAAGACAGGATACTGGGCTAGATGGATCTTTGGTCTCACCCAGTATGGCTGTTCTTATGTTCTCATGTCAGCAA